GTTTTCACAGGTTTGCGTTTTTAAAGCTTGTGCAGAAAAAAAAATATATTGCATTCTCGAGCTCTAAACACTGTTGTTGTGCGAATGAGCGGCCGGAGCACGTTAATAGGTTTCTGTTAGAACGGTGTCGTGTAAGTGGCTCCTAAGTTAATAACGAATGATCTTTGCAAAGGAAGTGAATCAATCAAAACTAACTTTAGCTGGACAATAACTTTATTCTAGAGCTGCTGCTGTAAAGCCAAAACAATCTCTGTTACTTTAATTTCCTATTATCACTGTAAAGCTGCTTTGAAACAGTCTATATTGTTAAAAGCACCATATAAATGAAGGTGACTTGACTTGACTTGTAACTCAGTCAGTAAACCAGTCATGCTTTCATTATAACTGACTAAAAGGTGCAGACTCAACAATAAAAACAGCTCTATGGTCAGTAGCATAGCGATGTATGAAGCAAAGCTCACAATGAAGCCACCTTCAAACCAAGCAGCTTTCGGTTGTTCCGTTGAATTTGTGTGTCCAACTTGAATCAGATACGCGGGGGAATCTTCCGTCCTGACACAGACACTTCCGTTCCGTCCCAATCACACAGATTCCTACTGAATGACTGGATTTTGCCTGTGAAATGACACCGTGTCCTAACCTGACAATATGCGACAAGATTCCTGACAGAAGAGCTTTGTGGGTGGAGTCTGTCTGCATTCGCAACCAAAACAGTCCAAAATCAGCCAATCAGAAGAGCTTGTGGGCGTAGTTTGTCTGCACTCACAACCAAATCGGTCCAAAATCAGCCAATCAGAAGAGCATGTGGGCGGAGTCTGTCTGCACTCGCAACCAAAACAGTCAAAAATAAGCCAATCAGAAGAGCTTGTGGGCGGAGTTTGTCTGCACTTGCAACCAAATCAGTCCAAAATCAGCCAATCAGAAGAGCTTATAGGCGGAGTCTGTCTGCACTTGCAACCAAATCAGTCAAAATCAGCCAATCAGAAGAGCTTGTGGGCGTAGTTTGTCTGCACTCACAACCAAATCAGTCCAAAATCAGCCAATCAGAAGAGCATGTGGGCGGAGTCTGTTTGCACTTGCAACCAAATCAGTCCAAAATCAGCCAATCAGATGAGCTTGTGGGCGGAGTCTGTCTGCACTCATAACCAAATTAGTCCAAAATCAGCCAATCAGAAGAGCTTGTGGGCGGAGTCTGTCTGCACACACAACCAACTCAGTCCAAAATCAGCCAATCAGAAGAGCATGTGGGCGGAGTCTGTCTGCACTCACAACCAAATCAGTCCAAAATCAGCCAATCAGAAGAGCATGTGGACAGAGTCTGTCTGCACTCGCAACCAAAACAGTCAAAAATCAGCCAATCAGAAGAGCTTGTGGGCGTAGTTTGTCTGCACTCGCAACCAAATCAGTCCAAAATCAGCCAATCAGAAGAGCTTGTGGGCGTAGTTTGTCTGCACTCACAACCAACTCAGTCCAAAATCAGCCAATCAGAAGAGCATGAGGGCGGAGTCTGTCTGCACTCACAACCAAATCGGTCCAAAATCAGCCAATCAGAAGAGCATGTGGGCAGAGTCTGTCTGCACTCGCAACCAAAACAGTCAAAAATAAGCCAATCAGAAGAGCTTATAGGCGGAGTTTGTCTGTACTTGCAACCAAATCAGTAAAAAATAAGCCATTCAGATGAGCTTGTGGGCGTAGTTTGTCTGCACTCACAACCAAATCAGTCCAAAATCAGCCAATCAGAAGAGCATGTGGGCGGAGTCTGTCTGCACTTGCAACCAAATCAGTCCAAAATCAGCCAATCAGAAGAGCTTATAGGCGGAGTCTGTCTGCACTCATAACCAAATTAGTCCAAAATCAGCCAATCAGAAGAGCTTGTGGGCGGAGTCTGTCTGCACACACAACCAACTCAGTCAAAAATCAGCCAATCAGAAGAGCATGTGGGCGGAGTCTGTCTGCACTCACAACCAAAACAGTCAAAAATCAGCCAATCAGAAGAGATTGTGGGCGTAGTTTGTCTGCACTCACAACCAAATCAGTCCAAAATCAGCCAATCAGAAGAGCATGTGGGCGGAGTCTGTCTGCACTCACAACCAAATCAGTCCAAAATCAGCCAATCAGAAGAGCATGTGGGCGGAGTCTGTCTGCACTCGCAACCAAAACAGTAAAAAATCAGCCAATCAGAAGAGCTTGTGGGCAGAGTTTGTCTGCACTTGCAACCAAATCAGTCCAAAATCAGCAAATCAGAAGAGCTTGTGGGCGGAGTCTGTCTGCACTCACAACCAAATTAGTCCAAAATTAGCCAATCAGAAGAGCTTGTGGGCGGAGTCTGTCTGCACTCGCAACCAAATTAGTCCAAAATCAGCCAATCAGAAGAGCTTGTGGACGGAGTCTGTCTGCACCCGCAACCAAATTAGTCCAAAATCAGCCAATCAGAAGAGCATGTGGGCGGAGTCTGTCTGCACACACAACCAACTCAGTCCAAAATCAGCCAATCAGAAGAGCTAGTGGGCGGAGTCTGTCTGCACTCACAACCAAATCAATCTAAAATCAGCCAATCAGAAGAGCATGTGGGCGGAGTCTGTCTGCACTCGCAACCAAAACAGTCAAAAATAAGCCAATCAGAAGAGCTTGTGGGCGGAGTTTGTCTGCACTTGCAACCAAATCAGTCCAAAATCAGCCAATCAGAAGAGCTTATAGGCGGAGTCTGTCTGCACTTGCAACCAAATCAGTCAAAAATAAGCCATTCAGATGAGCTTGTGGGCGTAGTTTGTCTGCACTCACAACCAAATCAGTCCAAAATCAGCCAATCAGAAGAGCATGTGGGCGGAGTCTGTCTGCACTTGCAACCAAATGAGTCCAAAATCAGCCAATCAGAAGAGCTTATAGGCGGAGTCTGTCTGCACTCATAACCAAATTAGTCCAAAATCAGCCAATCAGAAGAGCTTGTGGGCGGAGTCTGTCTGCACACACAACCAACTCAGTCCAAAATCAGCCAATCAGAAGAGCATGTGGGCGGAGTCTGTCTGCACTCGCAACCAAAACAGTCAAAAATCAGCCAATCAGAAGAGCTTGTGGGCGTAGTTTGTCTGCACTCACAACCAAATCAGTCCAAAATCAGCCAATCAGAAGAGCATGTGGGCGGAGTCTGTCTGCACTCGCAACCAAATCAGTCCAAAATCAGCCAATCAGAAGAGCATGTGGGCGGAGTCTGTCTGCACTCGCAACCAAAACAGTCAAAAATCAGCCAATCAGAAGAGCTTGTGGGCAGAGTTTGTCTGCACTTGCAACCAAATCAGTCCAAAATCAGCCAATCAGAAGAGCTTGTGGGCGTAGTTTGTCTGCACTCACAACCAACTCAGTCCAAAATCAGCCAATCAGAAGAGCATGTGGGCGGATTCTGTCTGCACTTGCAACCAAATCAGTCCAAAATCAGCCAATCAGAAGAGCTTGTGGGCGGAGTCTGTCTGCACTCACAACCAAATTAGTCCAAAATTAGCCAATCAGAAGAGCTTGTGGGCGGTGTCTGTCTGCACTCGCAACCAAATTAGTCCAAAATCAGCCAATCAGAAGAGCTTGTGGGCGGTGTCTGGCTGCACACACAACCAACTCAGTCCAAAATCAGCCAATCAGAAGAGCATGTGGGCGGAGTCTGTCTGCACTTGCAACCAATTCAGTCCAAAATCAGCCAATCAGAAGAGCTTGTGGGCGGAGTCTGTCTGCACTCATAACCAAATTAGTCCAAAATCAGCCAATCAGAAGAGCTTGTGGGCGGAGTCTGTCTGCAACCGCAACCAAATTAGTCCAAAATCAGCCAATCAGAAGAGCTTGTGGGCGGAGTCTGTCTGCACACACAACCAACTCAGTCCAAAATCAGCCAATCAGAATAGCTTGTGGGCGGAGTCTGTCTGCACTCACAACCAAATCAATCTAAAATCAGCCAATCAGAAGAGCTTGTGGGAAGAGCATGTATATATCATACATATTACGCCATTTTAACATTATTAAAAACACATACTGAGTGACTGAAACAGTCTTTGTCATAGAATACACTTGTTTGTTCAGAGTTTGAACATTCTTGTTTCCTTTTACTTATTTTCAGGATCTGAGGTAAATTGTGTTGTTTCAGTATGGTAAAAAAATGGACTGCATTTATATATCGCTTTCACAGACCCAATGGCCACCAAAGCGCTTTACATTTTGCCTCACATTCACCCATTCATACACCGACGGCGGTGTCAGCCATGCAAGGCGCCATCCAGCTCGTCGGGAGCAGCTGGGGTTAGGTGTCTTGCTCATGGACACCTCGACACTTGGTCAGGTGTACCTTCCTTCACCAACCTTCCGGTTTGTAGACAACCTACATGAACCACTGAGCCACTGCCGCCCACAGTATGGCTATAAAAGGCAAACAAAATAATATTCAAACTCACAATAAATACATAATTTTAACATTAAATAAAGCACATAATTAGTACCTGAGAATATCATTGTCATATTTTGCATGATGTTGTTTCAGCCGCGTTGTTGCAGGGATAGAAACCGTTAATAAAACTTTACAATAAGGTTCATTAGTTAACTACATTAGTTAGTTACCATGAACTAATAATGAACTGCACTTCTACAGCATTTATTAATATTTTTTCATGTTAATTTCAACATTTACTAATGCATTATTAAAATAAGAATTTGTATTAGTTTATATTAGTTAATGCATTAACTACAGTAACATAGTTAACAGTGAACAGCTGTTTTTATTAACTAACATTAACAAAGATTAACAAATACAGTAACAAATGTATTGCTCATTGTTAGTTCATGTTAGTTAATGCATTAACTAATGTTAAGGTTTATTAAACCTTATTGTAAAGAGTTTCTAAAATAGAATTGTCTCATATCGGACTAAACTCTGATTAACATGGAAAAGACGCCTTTGATTGCATGTTGCAGCATCACATCTGTTTAGCACACGGTGTTAAGGCATAATGTTTATCTGCCAACAGGTCAGCACCTCATCCTCTGCTCCAGTCCTGAGCGACAAACTGCGGTACCCGTCCTTCATGCGTGTGATTCCCAGTGACATCTACCAGGCTCAGGCGCTGGTCAAGCTCATGTCTCATTTCTCATGGAACTGGGTCGGTGTCGTGTATGGAGATGATGACTACGGGAGAGCGGCCTACCAAAGCTTCGTCCAACAGTCAGCTGGAACGATATGTGTTGACTTTGAGAAAGCGGTAACGCACTACTTGGACCACGTCGATGTGGAGAAGTACATCAAAGATGCTGCTAAGAGCATTAGAGAGTCTCGCGCCAAGGTGGTGCTGCTCATCCTGAAGCCACAGCTGGTGGAGAAGCTTTTCAAGGAGATGATTCAAACCAACACAAGCAGAGTCTGGATCGCGAGCGACGCCTGGTCTATTTACCGGCCCTTAACCAAGATGAATGACATAAACAAAGTGGGTAAAATCTTTGGCTTTTCCTTTACCATGGGAAACATACCAGGGTTTGAAGACTACTTGAGAAACCTCAGGCCGATGCCAGGAGCAAGAAATGCCTTCATAGAAGAGTACAAGCAGCTGAGACTGAACTGCTCGCTTTGGCCCAGGAACTGCTCCACAGATGACGTGCTGTACGCTGTGTACCTGAGAGAGGCCTACATGGAGAGGCTGGCCATATATGCTATAGCACACGGGCTCAGGACACTGCTGGACTGCAACGACACCGCCTGCTCCGGAGACAACAACTTCCCTCCCTGGAAGGTGAGATCTCTCAAGCCCACGGCGCTTTGAACTTACAATAGGAGGAGAACACTTCACTGTGAGGTTCAGCTGGTAACCATGACGGTTATTAGGTTAATGCTCATTGTTAACTCATAAAGCATATTAAATTGCACTAATTGAAAAAGAATACAGTGCTTGCAATATAATGCATTGTATTTTCAGGGCTTGCATTTTTATTTATTTATTTAATAAAAAAAAAAAAAAAAGATTATGCAACACTTTATAGACCAAACAAGCATACTTGAAACTTTGATATTGTCAAAGCTTAAAAATGTATGTTTCTCTAAAATAATTTTAGGGTCTGAAATTCAACATGGTTTTATATTGAACTCTTTCCCCACCAGTGTTTTTTATTTTTAAAAAGCACACGTTTCTGCTTGTTCTTCGCCTGTGTTTTGGTCAGGAGATTCAGTACTCTTAGAAGATGCGTAATGGGGCAATAGTAGATGGAGATCGGTACTCTACTGCAATCCCTGCCGTTCCCGGATGTGCAACGTTGAACTTTCTGTCGAATTTGAACCACTGATTTGGTGGAAGTGAATTTGTAAAGTAAAATAAAATGGACTGAATATTGCCTGTCGAATATTATTGTAATTTTTAAACAGACTGAATATTTTGGAAGTTAAGTCTGGATGGCGAATGTGGATTATTGAATTTTAAATAATGAAAATGTGTGTGAAATGTTTTGAATTGAAATATTCACAGCTTAAATATACAACCATGTTGAATTTCAGACCCTAAAATGCAAGCCCTGAAAATACAGTGCATTAAAATGCAAGAACTGTTAAAGCAATAGTTGTTTTTTTTTCAATTAGTGCAATTCAACAAGCTTTTTTATTTCAAATACATTTGTCATTAATTTACTTCCATAGTCATGTGATCATTAACCAACATCAGAATACCGTGTACATGCCAATATGGTAGCTGAAATAAAGGTTGGGAACCACTCACCTAAATTAAGAAATCCTGTTTATTGTTCATAGATAATGAATTTAACCTTACTGTAAAGTGTTACCAAGATCAAACACCATATTCTCCAGTGTTTTAACAAGCATGAACAACAGTGTGATGAATTGTTTAATCTCAAGAACACTTGTACTCTTTGACAGCTATTGGAAAGCATGCACAGTGTGAATTTCACGCTCGATGGCACTAGATATTTCTTTGACGAAAACGGTGACTTTGTGGATGGTTACGACCTCATAATGTGGAAGGAAAAAGATGATGAACGAATTATTGAAATTGTGGGGAAATTCCTCTTGAAAAAAGGAGACGTGGAGATCTTCAGTGAATTCCAGTCGTTAAATGACAGCGTGAGTTGAGCTGTCTCTACTTTTGCTATTCTCTCCACCACCACAAGAAAACAGCCATCACTGACATGTGTCTCTCTCGTCCTCCAGCTACCCTTGGCCAGGTGCTCAAACTCTTGCACACCTGGCACTGCGAAGAACCAGTCCAAGATCCCCTGCTGCTACAACTGCGTTGAATGTTCTGAAGGAAAATATACTGATGGATACGGTAAATCAGGATTCATTCACAGAATTCACTAGGAAATTTTTCATACAGAGTATCTGACTACAAATAGCAGAACAAAGCAACACTGGAACTGTCTTCAGATTGTATTATTATTATGATTATTATTGAAATGATTGAGCATAGTTAAGCCAAACCCATCAGTCAAAACAAAAACTTGTGACAAAATATGTAGTACTGTAATACTTCCAATATACCATACAATACAATACAATAATAGAGAAAAAAGCTTATTAGGGCTGATAGCGAGCTACAGTCAAACCAACATTTATTCAGACTCCTTCAACATTTCTCACATTATCACAGTTTCTTCCCTATAGTTTAGAAAATGGTAATAAAATATGACAAGAACTCAGAGTTATCAGATCAGTTGATATTTGACTGGTTTTGTCCGTCCTTCTGTTAGACTCTCACACATGAATTATGTTGAATATCTGTCAGCTGTTAAATTTAACTACACAATTAGATAATACCAGTTTAGCTCAACCAGTGACCAAGTAATGCTTCATGTTGTTCAGTGTGTGTGTAAAAAGAGCATTAGCAATTACAGAAAACACACTTCAGCAAAACATGATCAGCTCAAAATGGAGGAATCATTTTTGGTCCCAAATTTGTATAAATGTTACTGGTAGTCACTGTATGAAGAATATTTGGGAATAATATGTCACAGTTTACTTTATTTTGCTCTCCTCACTTACAAAAATGAACTATAGTGTCCTGCACACACTATAATTTTTTTTAAATAAAAATTATATCTGATGTCTGAATCATTTTTGGTTTGACTGTATATTGTGCTTTCCTAGTTCAAATTTGATGACAAAATAAGTGCGTTTTCCTTTTCAGATTTCCCCGAATGCCTGAAATGTCCTGAAGGAAAATGGTCTACTACGGGAGCAAGTGAATGCGAGTATTTCCAGGAGATTTATCTGGTTTGGAACGACAGTTATCCCATAGCTCTGTTAGCGGCGACAGCGATAGGCTTGATTCTAGTGTTCACCTCCTTCATCATTTTCAATGTGCACAGAAACACCACAGTCATCAGAAAGGCTGACAACACGATGTCTTGTTTCATGTTCCTGGGGCTGACGGTCAGCTTCGCCAGCGTAGTCATGTTTATCGGCCGGCCGAACGAGCACCAGTGCAGGGCTCAGCAAGCCTTGTACGGCCTCGGGTTCACCCTCTGCGTTTCCTGCATCCTGGTTAAAGCCTACCGCACTTTCCTGGCTTTCCTGGCCTTTGATCCGGACAAGCAGCACCAGCTTAAAAAGCTCTACAAGCCTGTTATCAATTTGGTCCTGCTTACCGGTGCTCAAGGAATCATCCTGTTGTTCTGGATGACTCTGGGAAAGTCTCCTCGACCAGATATAAAGTGGCCTGAGAGTGGCCTAAAACAATATGTTGTCTGCGACGAGGGCTCCATCATAGGTTTTGTCGTGATGCATGGTTACATAGCTCTATTGGCCTTCATTTGTTTCTTTGTTGCATTCAAGGGTAGAAAAGTGCCACATGATTTCAACGAGACTGGCGTCATCATCTTCAGCATATTGATTCATCTGTTTGTCTGGCTTTGCTTTATTCCCATTTATATTGAAAGAAACAAGACCGAACAGCGGCACATTGTTCAGGCCTCGGCCATCCTGGCATCCAACTATGGCATAATCTTTTGTCATTTTATCCCAAAGTGCTACATAGTCCTGTGGGAGCTGTCGGAGAACTCGAGGGTATCGATCATGGGGAGGTTGGCTAGACGCATTAAAGAGGACACAGCCACTGCGGACATTACCGTACTACATGAAGCGGGCCGGATTACTCCAGGCGTCATCAGCCCTGGTGTAGCACCATCGGTGATCGAGATCAGTTGCATTACTAAAGATGTTTTCAGTACTCTCAAGACTGAGGATGTTTTTAATATGGATAGAGGCGGTATAGATCCTACAGTTTCCCGCCATTTCAGGGTGACGCAAAGACACACTACGAAATAAAAATAAAAGTGTTGTCTTGTATTCTTCTAGCAATTCCATCAACAAACAAACACTTCCTTGGCCAGAACAGTGAATCTTTCAGACTTTCTTAAATAATCTGGATTTTTCCTGCAAAAATGCTTTTTTTACTTAGTATTTTTATCTAAAAATTCTTAAATAAAGATGTCTTTAAATGCCATAAGATATTATGTCTTGTTTTGTGGGAATATAAATCAAAAGTAAGAGAGTTTTTGCTTAAAACAAGCAAAATTATCTGCCAATGGGGTAAGCAAAATAATCTTGTTTAAGATTAGATATTTGGACTGGAAACAAGACAAGTAAGAAAAGCATTTTTTGCAGTGATATACATTGTACATATATCAATACTGCATGTAACCTATGATGAAAGTTGCTAAAATGATGATTTGATGAATTTTGCTGTATGTTTTTATATATTTAACTAAACAGGGAGTCTGCATTTACGTATTAATGTACTAAATTAAATGGTGAAGTGTGTAATCCTAAAAATAACGAACCAAACCGTTGCTACATCTGACCCATGGGACAGAAATTACACACCTCTTTCTGTACTGTTTCTTTTTGCATATTGTATATGTAAAACTGTACATTTAATAAACTATAAAAACTGATTTGAGCTTTGGACTTTAATGCCATTATCATAGTCTACCACTGCTTGTGATTCTTGTGGATCATTTTGCCCTGTTAAAATCCTGGCCTTTGCCAGCAGATTGCAGACAACACTGGCATAAATCCAGGGAGGATTTAAGTCAGAAGTAAACATCTATAAATACTGCAACCTCAAGCCACACTGAACTTAATTCATCTGCTGGTTGTTGTTCAATTTCACAGAAACGAAATTGATACAGTCATTTAAACAGTTTTTTTTTATGAAAACTGTTTCCACTGTAGAAAAAACGTAAGTCACTGAAGATTTTTACTATATATCTTGATTCTAACGCTTATATGATGTTAATTCAATCAGAATTAGCAAGTGGTAAAAAGAAAAGAAGAAAAGGTAACCAGCAGGGTATCTGATTAGTGAGATGAGCTTATAGTCTTAAGCATGCGCTTTATTCCTGTAGCGTGATCATGTGTGTGTGTGTGTGTGTGTGTGTGGGAAAGACTGGAAGCTTCAATCCTGTTCTTCAATTCTGGGCTCTCTATGGCATACAAAACCAACTGGCCAGCGGTAATAAGTAGAGAAAGACAGGGATTGTGGACAGCGGCAGTAAAGGACAACGGGACACAATTGGTATGGTACGTAAACAAGAACCAAGTTGAGGTTTTCTGACAAACCACTTTCAAATCTGCAGTCAATCAAAAGAAAAGCAACAGGATTCTCCCATCAACATGGGGTGCTCTCCATCTAAAGGTCAACTCTTCAGCAAAAAAGCTTTGCTGTCTGGATCACCGGAAAGCCAGAAAACTGCTGACCTGCCCTCTGATGGGGCACAACTGCAAATCAAAGCAGAGATAAACACTGCTTCAGAAGCTCTAGAGATACAAGAAAATGAAAAACACATTCAAGGTAAGAGATCCTCAGTCGATGATGTAGTTTGTGATGCCACTGTGACAGTCGAAGAAGATGCTTCTGAGAAGATGCTAGATGTGGTCTGCTCTCAGGATGAACAGAGTGCACAAGAGGGCCTCTTAGAAAACCAGAAAGAAGGAATAGAGGAGATACGGACAAAAGATAAGCAAGGAAAGCGGAGGAGGCAGAGGAAACAGAGACTGAGAAAAAATTCCTATGCGCAGTCAAAGGCAGAGTTCATACTGAAAGCCCACCAGGCAGCCTATGCGTACCTGAACCCCAGCATTTCCAAATACGAGTCTCTTTTAGGGCTCGTGAGCCAGGCAGCTCAGACCCATCTCTCCGTACAGACCGCAGTAGCTGCAGCAGTTGTGCACTACGAAGAGATCAACCAGGCTTTGGAGGAAATGGCCGCTGAAGGCGAGCAGCTGCTGAGGGAACATGGACACAACATGAAGTGGCCTGCTTTACTTAAAGACTATCCACCTACGACCAAACCAAGCAACGACCTGAACGAGCTTCCCTCCGAACTGCTGCAGCACATGCTCCTTCACTCCACAGTTCAGATGATCTCAGTGGGAGACTCTGTGAAGTGCCTGGGTGACGCAGCCTTACAGGAGCTAGCTGACTACGTTGGGTCCCTGTCTGAGGTCTTAGGAGAGAAGCTGCTGGCTAAGCATGCGGCCGAGGAGCGCCTGAAGCAGGTTCTGTCCCGTGTGGAAGCTGCTGCCCTTAGGAAGCCCGGCCCAGAGGACTCTGCGCTGCATAGTGAGGACAGCGGCATAGGGGCGGACAACGAGTGCCAGAACGGCTTCCGTCGGAATAGAGGGAGCTCGGGATCAGGAGCAAACGCTGGAATAACATCTGTCTTTACCACCGGCTGCTGTCCAGATCAGCAGCTCCTTAACGCCAATGAGGAAGGCACAGATAATGATGATGATGATGATGAAGATGAGGATGATGAGGATGCAGAACTTGATGATGACGTCAGTGAAAAAGATGAGCTGGGGAGGTTGACCGACAAGACAAGGCGAACAGTGAGTGGTTATTCTGAAGCAAACTCCAGCTTTCCCCCAGTTCAGGGTGGCGTTCAAAACCAAGATCAAGTCAAGACCAGTAACTTGAAAAGGAAAATCAGACGGCCAAAAACCGCAGACAATAGCTTTCAGATGAAACTAAAACACCGCCATTTAAGACGGCCAAAGCGCTCGCAATCCGCAGAGTGCTTGTGTAGCAAAGCGGAAGAATCAGATCCTAATGAGGAACAAGGTAACCCGAGGAACATGCACTGGAGGAGAAAAAATAATCTCCCAGAAGATCATGGAGGCCGTGTACGGACAAAGATGGGAAGAGGTTCATCTGTAGGACAGTGCTCAGCAAGGTCCTACGGCCTCCAGTATGGCAGCAAAGGGCCTTTCAGGGCAGTAAAATCTAGCTCTCCTCCAAAGTTTACTCCAGAACCACCTGGGCGACATGCTGTCAAGAGGCTCATTAATACGTTTAGCCAAGGGGTGGAGGATAATTCAAGACAAAGTCCTGTAGACCAAAGACCGGTGAGAGTTAGGGGCAACAAGAAATGCTCTCTCCCACTGTTGCAGACCAGCAGAGAAGCACTTACCACCAGTAGGAACATCAAGAGTAGCATCCGTTCGCTTGAGCCCAGACCGGCTGACAAACCTGAGCATCTGGATATAGACAGCCTCCCGCCTCCACCCCCAGAAATGCTCATGGACAACACATTTGAAAGCAGTGTAGGGTTTCCCAATGAGGACCGGGCTCGTGATTCACAGTGCAGAGGGCAGCGACTCCGCACTTTAACACAAAGAGAGACTGCCCCCCCCAACAGGGCTACAATGCAGAGAGCAACTACTCAGCCACTGAGGCAAGATGCTTTGCAGGGATCCTGCATTGAACAGGAATACAATGCAGGTTTGCGAGGTTCTGCTCCTCATCAAGGATGCAAGATCCACAATGAGGGTGAGACTGCAACTATGCACTCGAAAGGTTTCCCCCCAACGACTCCCCCTGTCTCAAGGACACGGCTTCCACCCTCCTGTCCCACTCTGCACCACCCAGTGCCAAGCCCTCCATCCACGGCCTGCCCCCCTACTAGGAAGTGGACTCCATCAAACACCTCCAGTGTTTCTGGCTCTCAAGCATATTTTGAAGCCCGGGCTGTGTTCTCTCAGGAGAACCCGCCACTCCCTTACACATGGACACCTTCAAGTACATCTACGTTGCCTCGGCCTTGGGGTGAACCGGCCAGACCTCGCCTTCAAACCTCTTTCATGGGACGCCGTCCGTCAGGTCATAGGTCATCCCACAGTGAGCCGCCACAGTCATTGCCCGATGCCAAACAGCAACAGGGTCCGGGTAGTGACGACACACCTTCGACCAGTAGTGAGGGGTGAGTACCTTCCAGCCTCATTCCTTGTGATCCAATATGTAGCAAATCTATGACACAACAAAGGTCTGAATACAAAAAGACAAAACAGGTAGAACATGACTGAGCCTGTTGAATCAGATTTTGCCAATCTTTATAACCAGGGCTGAGATTCACTGGGGAGACTCTAGTTGGGAAGATGTTTACTTTTATCTTTTTTTTTTATTACTTTAAATTACTTTTTTGATGTATTTAAATATAAAAGTTCATGTTTCCTCCAAAGATTGTTTCATTGTGCATCAAGACAGGCATATGAAAGGTCAATAAACAACATTTATGAATTGTGTGTGGCACAAACTCTTCTTCGTTCAAGAGTATCTCTGCTTGGCGATAATTACCTATTTAATTATGGCCAAATTAAAGATACATTCCTTCGGTTTCATAGACATGGCTTAAGCTAGTCCAAAACTAAAATGAAAGTTTGAGCTGTCTAAACTGAAAGCAACTTGTTTTTCCACCACACGCCACTTCCAGCAGTACACTCAATATATAAATGTTGCGGTACCAGCCCTAGACCCACAACGGTTCGTAACACACTGATAAATCTTAAAATATATCACTGCCAATGTTTTGTCTCAAGATGCACATCAGTAATGTTTTTTATCTAAGGCATGTTTATAAAAGCTTCTTAAATGCCCAAACTGAACTAAGGCCTAATCTGTGAAACCATTGTGTAAGAAACTGCATATGTACATGCAGAATTTAACAGGTGACACAAACCTTTTGAAAACATTTATCTTCAGGATAAAGTAGAAAAGGTGTTTAGTGCTTTGAATATAAACAATTATTAAACACATTTAAAGATGAATCCAGTTTTAAGGGAAAGGGGAGTTAATGTGCATTATAAAATTAAAATAATTTGGATAATGCTTCTAGAATACATAATAATATTATTGAATAATATTTGTTTGAGGATGTTAGCATAGACATTGGTGTTTAAACATGTATGTATTATAATATAAGAATTCTCAGAAATAATTTAAACTGCTTGTCAAAAATAGTTTGAAGAAAAATGTAAAGAGTATTAATGAATTGATCTCCCCTCCTTCTCTCAACCTGCTTCATCACATGAGGTTATGATACTGCTTTTACTCAATGAAGCGCACAATCCTGGAAATTAAGAAGCACAACGTTTTTGTTTTAAAACTGAGATCACGATTCTGAATAGACAACTAAACAAAATAGGATATAATTTACTAGAGGTTCTGGCAAAATGTTAACTGCTGCAGTCTGTTTAAAAATAAAATTAATGAATTCAAATGCATTTTTTTAATCACTTTGTATAAATGATTCAATGATTCACTTCTCTTGTTTCAGTACTGGATAAATCAGTGATTTTAAAAATCTATTGAATGAATGATTCAATGACAAAAACATTTTTTTTTAACAGTCACTTATCGCCACCTACTGGTGTAACAATATAATTGAAAGAATCTTTATTTGAAGCGTCAAGTTACTTTCAAAAAGTACTATTTTAAGATTTGCTCTATTATAATCACCACCGTAGTCATCAGTGTTTATATCTGAACCATAAACTTTTACTGTGATCATTTGAATTACTGTGATCATTTGAATTATTGTAAGAAATATTGATACAGTTGAAAAGGCTGTTTGTGAAGCTGTTTCATGTCTATAGGCTAACTGCTCTCTTTGGGTCAGTGCCAACACACATCTGAATGTTCGCCGTGATCGTACTTTTCAAAGCTTTATTAGACGAATCATTGTCGTTTAGGAATAAGATCGAAGATAAGAAGGTGTTTGATCTTTTAATGATTAATCGTGCAGCTCTACTGTGTGTCTCATAACAGAAACAGTCTCTTTCCAGGCAACAAATCATTATTAGACAGAGTTTGCATTAAATCTGATTAAACCTGGATAATTTCAGATAGCCTATGTAAATGCGGATTTATCCATATTAACTCTATTAAAGTAACGATTTCGGCTAAAATCTCAGTTTATCCCACTTAATTTACCTGAAGTGATTTGCTTTGATTCATGTTCATCGGCTGCAACCTGCAGATATTATGGCCAATCACAAAAGTCGATTGCGCAACCAAATGTATAATACATCGACTGCTGCATTTATTTTATATTTTTTACTTCGCTATGGTTTTGTGCTGAATTGGTATCACTTTCATAGGTTATTAAGTGAATAAAATATAGAAATCCTTTAATTTCCTTAAAACAATCTAACCAGTTTGAACCGGAACGCCACCCCCATTGTTTATAGCCAGTATCTCAGAGAACAAACCCTCTCATCTCCCTCCCTCATTTTCTTCTCTTTCTCCCGATTTCTTGTTGAACAAGTTTGACCCAGAATGAAAGAACTTGTTTGTAATTGTACAGATTCCTACTGTCCTGCCATTACAACTAATGTCATCACCCCAGTCCTGCCTGCAATGCAAGCAAAGAATTTGCTGTAACCATGTGATAAATCAAATCTTTCGTTTCAAAAAAAAAAAAAAAAAAAAAAAAAAAAAAATACCTTTATACAGTGTTATTCACAGTGATTTCTGGTTTTCTATGATCATTAAATAGTCATTCTGAATCAAATGCATTTATTTATTGAACATTGGTGTCTTTTATCATTTTACAGCACCAGAGGCTTTTCTTTGTCTGACACCCTCAATATTTCAAAGGTCTCTGAGACATAAAAAAGAAATGATCTTGCATCACGTAAACTTTTTAACTTCATTGAGATGAGATGTCAATAAAGGGGAAACCCTGCAGAAAACCAGAAGAACTGGGAAACTCTTATGGTTGCACATTCTTCTGGCCAGCGTGAAACACACACACTGAGATGAGTGAGATGACACGATAAAGACAGTAGCTGGGGAAGTTCATAAAGAAAGTGTAAAGCACTTCTCACATGTTTCTCTGAGTGTTACATGACTGAAGCAGAGGGTTGGAGAGCTGGTAATCTGATCAGAGTTAATCTCAGCATAATCCCTGTAGAAGAGCATCTCCTGACTCACCTGTCCTGATGGCCTCATTCACCATCTGTCTATACACAAATCAGCATTCATACATTCACCATCTGTGTGTCTACACCCCTAAAAGCTCATATTAATGCGTATAAGCTAAGCAAAGGTGTCCTTTTAAGGGTTCTGTCGCAGTGTCGAGGGATGTGCCCTTAAACACAGGATTTCTGCACTTACAAGATCTTAAAGTATTCAAACTTCCCATTTCAAGGCTGTTTATAAGATGTGTAAGCGTTCAGAAAAGTGAGCTTGTTTTCTGGAGTTGTCCTATAGATGTTTCTGTGTGTGTGTGTGTGTTTTCTCCCAGGACGCTGAGAGCGGATCTGGACACACACAGCCGGTTGGACATCACACACCAGCTGGACTAGGCCTTTTCTCTCTACGCAGATCTGGGACATTTCAGGAAACATTTCCTAATAAACATCAACACCACGATGCTTAAAAGCGCTTAAAAGTGTAAAAATAACACTCTGTGTATATTACTCTGTTAATCTCTTATTTAAGTGTGTTTACCTCTCTGTTTGTAGCCTGATCTTTCTATCGGTTTTGATACGTAACACAAAGGAAAGCGTCTTATATTTCTTATATTCTGTAATACGGCTCCTATCATACTCTCTCCTCATTTATCAGGAGCTGTTATTGTGACTTACTACTTAGAAATAACTAATCCTATCATTTCACACAGTGTGTCTCGTTCCTAAACTCTTACGATTATTTTGTGGTAATTTGTGATCACAGTCCATAAGCGTGGAAGACGGTGAGGCCTTCAGATTTCTGCATGATCTTCTGTTGAAATGTGATGTGATCTTCACAATAAAGGTGTTGTAAAAACACACACACCAGTAACCATCATTATTATCTGTGAGCAGCTTTACACTCGTTCTCCATCGCCCCTGTGGTGTTTTATATGTGAGTTTAGTGTCAGGCTCTAAGACACGCACTCTGACCGACACAAGAAACTCAACAGCGCCTCCTGTGTGTGTGTGTGTGTGTGTGTGTGTGTGTGTGTGTGTGTGTGTGTGTCTAAGTGAAGAGGAAATATATTTAAAATTGTGCTTTTTTGGACATATTTAATATATTTAAATTATACTATACTAAGTCCGTATTAAATGTATTATTTTGAAACAACTTGAAAGTATATTAAGTTTATTTCAAGATATGCTTAAGATCAATTTTAAGCTATTTGCAGTATATTTTAATGTTAAATTGTGCTAAAATGGAACCGTTTAGTGCATTTAAGTGTATTTTTTTTACCGTTCATTTAAAATATACGTTCATATTTCTAAAACTACAGTTAGAATATATTTAAAGCTTCATTTTAATGTACGTCAAGATCATTACACTAATAGTTTATTATAAAGCTGTTTTATTCGGAAATCAAAATGGTATATTAAAAGTGCAAAAATACTTCAATATAATTGTTTAGACATGCATACTCTTTGAAATCAAGAAAACTTTAATATACTATCTTGTTGTGTACATTGCAAAATAAATACATAAGAGTACATTAACCCTCTGGGGTCCTTCATTTCAGAGTCACACTCAGGACCTTCGGGTCCAAATGGTCCGGAAGGGTGAGATTCATATATATTAAAAAAATCATCTTTTTTTTTTTTTTTTTTTTTTTTACTTTTTTTTTATAATATTTTTTCTTTTTTGGTGTTTTGAGATAATTTTATGATTTATAATTAATATTTATGCAATAATTATGACCCATTTTTCCCCCATTGAATATAATAGATTATTTTTATTTTTTTAAAGCTGTATTTCATTTTAGAGTCAAGCCTAGGCCTCATGAAAGCAATTTTTGAAATGAGATGGATGCCATCTGGTGGACAAACTGAGCATTTTAAAAATTCAAAACACATATGTAATCTGAATTTATTAGTGTTTACGTGTATAAAAGTGTGTTTGTGTGTGTGGCTGTGTCTGTTTTGCACTCTTGATGTTTTATAGATTCACCCCTTCACTGTTGTGTGCTTTTTTTCTGGATCGTGGCTGATTTGTAGATTGTAAGCACAAAAAAACTCTGTATTTTCACATTTTTGCCAATTTCCCATTTATTTCCTATGCGGGTCCATTTGGACCCGAAGGTCCTGAGTGTGACTATTTTTTTAACAACCACTTAGACTATTCAAATCCTGTCCCCAATTTATTTGGGTGTTCATATAGCAAGTACCAACAAAGTCACCAAATTTCGGACCATTCCGAGGAAGCTATGATTTTTAAAAATGTATTTAAATGCTTCGGGTCCATTTGGACCGAAGGACCCCAGAGGGTTAAAAAAGTACAGCAGCAAATATAATCTCTTGAAGAAAATACATAACAAAGATCAGTGAAATGCTATGGCAGAGCTTTATTTATACATTTTTTGTAGAACATTTCAGTTATACCTGTATTACTGAAAAGTACACTATGAATATTACATCACTTAATAAATAAGCATCACAATGCAATTTTCTGGGGGAAAAAAAGTTATAAAAGTTAGTGAATAATGCATTATTTACAAACTTAAGCCTGCAAATTTCTGAACCAAAGAAACAGAAGAGTGTAAATGTCACATCTTCATCTTCAAGTGGACGATCATTTCTTGTGGTTCAGACTAGTGCTTGAAGACTGCTTTATCACAGGATCTGTGAAAGGGAAGAAGAATTTATATAGAATTAACCGATGATTAACATTTTTGTATCCATGTTTGAATATATGGATTATAATTTGCATAGATATGCATTAAAATTTCATTGACTTCTCAGTTTACCTTTAAAAGCTTTGTCTATATCCTCCTCAAGCTGGACATTAGAGTCCACTTTATCCTCTCGTCTGTCGCCGCTATACAGCGCTCTGAGTTACTCTGAACATGAGATTAGAAGAAGCCCGACACCACTGACGGTCAGCAGAGTTCAGTCAAACTCACTGATAGAGTTATCATCAGTAATAAAGCAGCCTGTGAGTATTAGAGGGCATGTTGTATAGTGATAAATGTGGTTTATTTAAACCTAGGGTATTTCCCATGAGCGTCTCTATTGTGGTCATGCTGACATGTACTCTCTTCACCTCTGTTGCAAAGATTTAAGGAAATTAGAATTTGTTAAATTAAAATTAGAAGCAAAATATTGTATGCCAGGACAACTAGGACAAGTGACTTGCAGCTTTACCAAAAAAACAATTAAATAAGCAGATTTTTACATGAATGACTCAAAGGCGGCACAATTACCCAGGTGGAAAAGATGTAGTATTACATGTATTAAAAATAATACATTTGTATTTCCAACATGCTTATTTGAAGTGCATTAAAAATATATTGAAATGCATTTTAATATATTTCTAAAAATTATACAACAAATACATTGGTAATACATATATGCTTAGTTACACTTTTAAGACCTTTGACTATAGTATTTTCTTCTCTACTATGGAAGTCAATGGTGCCAAACAACTGTTTGGTTCCAATCGTTCTTCAAAATATCTTCCTTTGTGTTCAGCAGGAGAAAGAAACTCATACAGGTTTGCAACAACTTGAGGGTGAGTAAATGATGACAGAAGTATCCCTTTAAACCTTAATAAGAAAGGCAGTCATGCTCTCAGAGAGAACATAAACACCCAGGAGCGCAGTCTCAGCACACTCAGGCCCAGGCATGTGAAACAGGGATCGTGGCCGTCACATGAGGATAGGGAACAACTAGAGGCGTGAACCTACACTGGTCTCACGCTTCGGCTCGATTACGATTATCAAGTCATCGATTCAGTTCAATTCGATAGCTCGATGCATTACGATGCACTGCATCCTTAATTTTCAATTTTACTTCACATGTATACAATTTTGTCAATAAATACAAGCAGTCAGATATATGAAATGAACCTTTAATTTTACCTGAAACCACGTTTCTTGAATGTATCAAACATCAAATAAAACTCAAGTCTGGGTGAAGACTGAAAAAAATATTGTTTAATGTTATTTTATTTTTATTTTATTATTTTTCTTTATTCATTTTAATAATAATTTCATAATGTTTTTTTATGAGGTCAGACAGTGTTTGTACATGTGTGCTGAGCAGAGAGCTGCTTGAGTTATATTTTGCTTAGGGGTACTATGTCTGCAATGCAATGTTCACGGAGACAGTTGGCATGTTCTTTGGAGGGAAAGGAATGTTTCCACTGATGCAAATGTACCACTAATGTATACAACAAGGTTAGTTCTTAATATGGAAGTGGATTGTGCCATGTTTAAGCATGACGTGTACATATGACATATGTGTTCTAATTTTAAGAAGCTCAAAGCAACATGTTTTGTTACCTTACAAGGAAGCTGTAAGACTCTTTGTGATGTATAAAAGCTCAATCTACTGTACCACCACAGAGAAACATAAGGCATGAGGGGGTGAGAGGAAGGAGGAAACTTAGAGATGATGGGGTGAAAAGATAGACAAATGGGGAACAGTTAAATCTAGAATGAGACTTCCTCACCGGTAGCCTTATTGTTATATGCCTGTTTCTCTCTGTCTGACATGACACACATTTAAATAATAAATCTATTGGCAAAAGTAACTGGTGTAGCTTCCGTGATTCAACATTAAATGGGGGAAGCATGATTTTCAAGTCTACATTTGGCGTCACGATCGAACAGGATTGCATCTTCAGGCATTTGTCTCATTCATTTCAGGTAAGACTTTTCCTATTCTAAAATAGTTCTAAGTCTGCCTGATGATTTGAGACATTGACTGAGACTGCTTTAAAAGAACTGTGTTATTTAAAGTACCAGGTGTGTTGCCAAAGAATATGTGTGTCAGACATAAAAATAAAAATTCAGAAAATGGAATTAAATTAAGTAATTCAATTTAATTTGGGTTATTTGAGTTTCTCCGAAAAGTAGACCTCTAAAATATTTGAACAATTCTGGGGTAAAACAGTGGATCTTTTTTAGAAAGAAGACCATATAGAATTAGCTGTAAGGCGATTTAGCAATTAGCTTGTAAGGTGGTTGGAATATGGCGAGATTGCGATAAAGGGCAGATCTCTAAAATATATCCAATACACGAAGAATCGTTTCAGAAGAAGACGAGGATAGTGACAAGCGGTTATTTATAGCGGTTTAAAGTGGCGGAATAGATCCTAAAACTTAAATACGCAGAGGATTGAACTCTTAGAAGAAGGGTATCAATGAAAAAAAAAAGAGCTAGGATCGCGGGCATTCTGATTTTGACCGCAGAGCTGTTCGGGTATTTGAGGAGGATACTGATCTGAGTAAGCTTAGAGAAGGAAGAAAAGGAAAAATTATCTGAGATAAACTAGGAAAAAAGAAAGAAAAAGAAACAGATCTGAGTTAGACTAAACTAAAAAAAAAAAAGAAAAAAAGACAACTGAGTGAGAAGGGAGAGTGAGAGGGGAGATTGGAGCAGCCCCTTCCTTTGGAATCTATACCCTCCTCTAGACACACACAGACACACAGAGATATAAATAGCCTGTTGCTTCTCTAG